CTGAGAGAGCAGCTCTGAGAGAACTGTGGCTTTCCCAAGGTCACACCTGCAGCTGCATGTGAAGGAGCAGGGAATCAAACCCAGTTCTCCCAGATTAGAGTCCGCGCTCCTAACCACTACACCAAACAGGCTCTCAGTAGACTTATCACCAATAACAGTTGTGAATCGTCACTGTACTTCTAATGAATACTTCTGAGTTTTGCAAACTCACATACTGTACCTCTTGAATCTCACAGCCTTTTGGTAATATTTTTTAAAACTTATCTACTTTCTCTCCATGCATCTGATAAAGTGGACTCCAGCCCAAGAAATCATACACTTCAATACATCTATTAAACCTTAACTGCCCCTGGATTAAGTGGTATTTTTTGCACCTAGCAAGGCTTCACTTATGTGCTTCATCCGAACAGTGTTGCAATCCACAGAATAGCTCTTTGATCATGACCAATTATATATTTTTCACCTCACCTCCCTTTTTATTTTGCTTTACTGAACATTCAATCAGATGAAAGGTATCTTGAAAACTTTGTTCACCAATTTGTGATGTTCTGGCTGATTCCCAGTAGTTGTATTTATCCGCACTACCATTATTTGGATTGTTTGTAATACTCTAATGTTCTTACTTGTGGTTGACTTGCCCAAGCCAATCCAGCAAACCTTCAGCACATCTTTACAGTGCGATTTGTTTGGTGTCTGCCTGATGTGAATGGATTTGGCCCAAGGGGACCATACCATAACCAAGGCCTATGTCAAATGAATGTTAAATTTCTTCCAGTCTTGTGGCCCTGTAAAAACTTAAACAATATTTTGTGTCATAAGCTTCTGCAAGTCAGAATGCACTTCAGCAGAGGTGGACTCTAATTCTTATGTCACAATAAAATCTTATGGGACCACAAGACTCATTTTGGCTACAGCAAACTAGTGTACTACCAGTGGGAATTTACTTAACATATCCTGAACTGGGGACAATTATTAAGAGATGGCTCTCCCCAATGGCTTTGATTAATTAATAATTAAAGACCAGACAAAGGTACCCCCTCTCAGCCAAGGGGAGGATGCAAGGGGGACAGAGAGAAATAGCAGTTTTGAGTTTTAGAAGAGAGGGGCAAAAAAGCAGTAGACACTGCCATGAGTTGGCTGGAGAACCTTGAGCAGGATCTGTCTCCTGGAATCTAATGCGAGATAATGAATCTACTGCCTCACACAAGCAAATTTTATTTAAAAAAACATTAAGACACCAATGCCCTCTTTTTCAAAGGGAATGAACCAACAGGTAAGCACTGCCCTTTGGGTTTCTCACTTAAAACGCAACATTGGCCACAGGATTGGAAAAGGTCAGTATACATTCCAATCCCAAAGAAGGGCAATGCCAAGGAATGTTCAAACTATCGCACAATTGCACTCATATCACATGCTAGCAAGGTCATGCTCAAGATCCTACAAGCTAGGCTTCAACAGTACGTGGATAGAGAACTGCCAGAAGTACAAGCTGGGTTTCGAAGAGGTAGAGGAACTAGAGATCAAATTGCCAACATTCGCTGGATTATGGAGAAAGCAAGAGAGTACCAGAAAAACATCTACTTCTGCTTCATCGACTATGCTAAAGCCTTTGACTGTGTGGATTACAACAAACTATGGCAGGTCCTTAAAGAGATGGGAGTACCAGACCACCTCACATGTCTCTTGAGAAACCTGTATAAGGGTCAAGAAGCAACAGTTAGAACCGGATATGGAACAACTGATTGGTTCAGCATAGGAAAAGGAGTACGACAAGGATGTATATTGTCACCTTGATTATTTAATATATATGCAGAGTACATCATGCGAAATGCTGGCCTGGATGAATCACAAGCGGGAATTAAGATTGCTGGGGAAAAGATCAACAACCTCAGATATGCAGACGATACCACTCTAATGGCAGAAAGTGAAGAGGACCTAAAGAGCCTCTTGCTCAGAGTAAAAGAGGAGAGCGCAAAAGTGGGCTTGAAGCTCAACATCAAAAAAACTAAGATCATGGCATCCGGCCCCATCACTCCTTGGCAAATAGAAGGGGAAGTCGTGGAAGTAGTGACAGACTTCACGTTCCTGGGATCCCAGATCACCGCAGACTGTGACTGCAGCCATGAAATTAAAAGACGCCTGCTCCTTGGGAGGAAAGCGATGGCGAACCTAAACAGCATGATAAAAAGTAGAGACATCACCCTGCCAACAAAAGTCCGCATGGTCAAAGCAATGGTATTCCCAGTAGTCATGTATGGCTGCGAGAGTTGGACTATAAGGAAGGCCGAGCGCCGAAGAATAGATTCTTTTGAACTATGGTGCTGGAGAAGACTCTTGAGAGTCCCTTGGACTGCAAGAAGAACAAATCAGTCAATCCTCAAAGAAATCAACCCTGACTGTTCCCTGGAAGGCCAGATAATGAAACTGAAGCTCAAATACTTTGGCCACCAAATGAGAAGGGAGCACTCACTGGAGAAGACCCTGATGCTGGGAAAGATTGAAGGTCAAAGAAGACGGGGACGGCAAAGGATGAGATGGTTAGACAGTGTCAAAGGAAGGGTATTGAAAACAGATCAGCCAATATAATAATGCCCCTATATAAATCAATGGTGAGACCTCATTTGGAATACTGTGTGCAGTTCTGGTCACCACACCTTAAAAAGCATATTATAGCTTTGGAAAAAGTGCAGAAAAGGGCAACTCGAATGATAAAAGGGTTGGAACACTTTCCCTATGAGGAAAGGTTAAAGCGCTTAGGGCTCTTTAAGCTTGGAGAAAAGACGACTAAGGGGTGACATGATCGAGGTTTATAAGATTATGCATGGGAAAGAGCAGGTAAAGAAAGAGGTACTTTTCTCCCTTTCTCACAATACAAGAACTCGTGGGCACTCCATGAAACTGCAGAGCGGTCGGGTTGGAACGGATAAAAGGAAGTACTTCTTCACCCAAAGAGTGATTAACACATGGAATTCACTGCCACAGGAAGTGGTGGGTGCTACAAGCATGGACGGCTTCAAAAGGGAATTAGATAAGCATATGGAGCAGAGGTCCATCAGTGGCTATTAGCCACAAGGTATAGCTAGGGGCTCTGGGGCAAGTGATGCTCTGTCTTCTTGGTGCTGGGGGGGGGTCAACAGTGGGATGGCTTCTAATGTCCTGGCCCCACTGCTGGACCTCCTGATGGCACTGGTATTTCTGGCCACTGTGTGACACAGAGTGTTGGACTGGATGGGCCTTTGGCCTGATCCAACATTGGCGTCTCTTATGTTCTTATGTTCTTAACAACAAATGTACTTCTGCAGACATTGCAGCAATTGAGTTTGAGGCCTAAATATTTAAGGTTTGACACAGTCAGGCATACAGTAAGCAGCCTAGAAAATCACCTGTATTTTTCCATCATTACATTTGTGAAGAATCTCTCAACAAATGAGTCATTAAAAGACTAAGACTCTCAGTACTTTGAAACCCACTGCTGAGAGTGGTAAGCAAGTTCTTAAGAACCTGATATGCTTGGAACTGACAATTACAGAAAAAGCACTACTGATTCCAGCTCATTTTGGTAACAGTCTTGGACCGTCTAACCACTGTTTTCTGACCAGAGGTATCCTTGCTGGATGTAAGTAATGTGTGCAGAAAGCCACCACAACTTAGAGGAGTTTAATTCCTCAAATAGACCTTTCTCTTACCAGACTTTTACAAAAGTCAATGACGTACTTTTTGTTCCAGACACGAGATTCACCTTTAACCAAACCCCCTAGGGGGTTCGAGCGGGGTAGAAGCCAAAATAAATAAATAAATACATACATACAACAGGGCAGCATACATTCTGGCTCTCACTTGACTCCACAAACATGAGGAAAAACAGTAGAAGTGGTCACTGTCTGGACTCAACCAAGTGGTGCAGATAACTGTACTCCAACATATATGTAGAGTAGAGTTTCCCTTTACTTCCTGCTTCAAAAGCCTCTGGCCAACATCAAGTGTGCTCCCGTATTTAAAGTGCAGAGGTAACCTAGTGTCAAAAGTACATTTGCAATGACTTATAAATTACCAAATCTACCACATGCAGCCACATGCTGTAGAAATTTGTTACTCTTGGTGAAACCGGGGGGGGGGGGAGCGAAACCCTAGGTTCTCTCCTCCTTTTAATGGCGATTCACCGGCTCTCTTTAAATCTCGGAGGAAACACATGGCCGAGGAAGGAAATGGAATGTAAGGAGGGCTGATTACCTGTCGAAGGCGCCCAACGGAATATCACAAGGGGAGGCGATGGCGATTAAGAAGCCCGAAGTCCTCTCAGAGCCGACTGAGTGGGTCTTGCCGGGAAGCAAGGAGCCGGGGAACGCTACAAACGTTCCCGCCACAGTATGTGCCCTCCGGGCCCTACCCAGATACGCTGCCTCTCTGGGCTCAGGGCCCACCACAGCCGCGGTCGGTTTTTCTTTTTTTTCTCCAAGGCCTCCCATTGCTCGCCCCCACACGCACACCGCGGCGGGGGTAATTTTTGGCTTACTTCGATAGCTTCGTGCCTTGAGGTATTTCCTGAATACCCCCAACCGTGTTTACATGGCACTGAACCCGGGGGAGGAAGGCGCGGAGGCCGCCCAGCCCCATGCCCACGTGCTTGCTTGTGCTCCGGCCAGCCAGACTAGGCCAGGCCGAGCCAAGCCAGGACGGGCCGCCTAACCGCTGCCCCGACTTAGGGCGACCCAAGGAACCCCGCCCGAGATTCCCTGCCTTCCCCTCACACAGCGGCCGCGCCAACATGGGACGTGCTTTGCATCGGCGGCGGAACCGGGAAGGGCACCGCCTCTGATCGCCTGCCTCTTCCCTTCTTCCTCGCCCGATCATGACCCAGCGCGGGGTTTTCCAACGGCGGCGCAGGGCCGACGCCTCCTCCCGAGCATCCCCATTCCCCACCGTCCTCGCCCCCACTTTTCCCGCTGCCTGCAACACAGCTCCCCCCATCCCGCCCCCGTGCAAGCCACGCGCCACGGTACCTGCGCGAGGCCGGGTCTCGCAGTGACTCAGGAGCGAGGAAGAAGCGCCGCGCGGCTGGCGGTAAAAAGACCCAAGCTCCCGCCGCTCGCGCTCATATAGAATTAACGTCACCACGTAACACTTTCCCCCCTCCTTCGCCGCCTCCTCCCCTATGCGCGCCCCTGTCTCCTGGCAACACCGTGCGCGCGCACCGTGGAAAGGCGAGCTTGCTGCCTAGTGACAGGCAACCGTCTTTCCTCGCGCCTGCCCGCCCACCAATCATCCCACCAACCAAGCTGTGGCCCATCCTCGACCCAGGCAGGCAGGCCAGGAGCACCACGGGCGCGCCACGTGCACCCGGATGCTGGGGGGGGGGGGGGGCAGGCCCCGCGGCTCTGGAAAGAAAGGAAATTGACCAGAACGAGCCAAGAAAAGGTTCCCCGCCCAGGTTCCCCGCCTGAACCTTGTCAGTGGCGGCGCCTCGGGTGTTGCAACCGAGTGACGGCGACGTTGGCTCTTCCTCCACCCACACGAAGCCTCGGCGCATAGTGGCCAGGACTTCACCAAGTAGGCCCTAGTGTTGTTTAACCTCCAGGTGGGGCCTGGAGATCTTCCGGAAATCACTGCTGATTTCCAGACTACAGAGATTAGTTTCCCTGAAGAGGTATCGCATTATTCCTCCCTTAGGCTCCTCAAACCCCACCTTCCCCAGTCTTCACCCCCAAAATCTGGAGAAGTTTCCCAATCTGGAGTTGGCAACTCTATCAGTGTGATGCAACATACAGCACCCCTGTCCTGCCAGTGTTGCTGGCAGCCTCTGGAAACTCTCCCATTTGTGACTTGTCTTGTTCTCTGAGTTGTACAAATAAAATGTAATCTCTTCTGCTTATAATGAATTAGTTGTCCCATAACCACTCTTCTGCCTGGTGATGAAGGTGGCCTGAAGTACATGAATTAGTATTAAAGTTCAGTTGTCAGTCTGCTGTGTAAGATCTTTTATATATATATCTTAGAGAAGGTCCTTTGAGCATGTACAGAGTGACTTTTCCACAGCCAGGGCCATTACACAGGGAAGCAGGCAGAACAGCTCCATATGGTTTCAGCACTGCCAGCTGTTAAGTGCTGTAAGTGTTCTGTGCTGTCATTTTCTGTGCTGGGTTCTGGAGCAGTAATTAAGATAAAAAGTTCCTCGGAGCCAGCCCAGCATTAGTGCACAAGTAACCACTCCCTCATGGATCACTGCCTTGATGTGGCAAGGGGGCTTGTGTGGTTCGATGAGGCTGTGGGCTATGCAGTGGAGGGCCACCCAGGACGGACAGGCCACAGCAGAGAACTCAAACCAAGTGTGATCCACTGGAGAAGGAAATGGCAACCCACCCCAGTATCTTTGCCAAGAAAACCCCATGGACAGTAACAAAAGGCTACAAGATATGACGCCAGAAGATAAGCCCCTCAGGTCAGAAGTGTCCAATATGCTACTGGGGAAGAGCAGAGGGCAAGTACAAGTAACCCCAGAAAGAGTGAAGCAGCTGGGCCAAAGCCGAAAGGATACTCGTCTGTGTCTGATGGTGAATGGAAAGTACAATGCTGCAAAGAACAATACTGCATAGGAACCTGGAATATAAGATCTATGAATCAAGGTAAGCTTGACGTGGTCAAAAATGAGATGGCAAGACTGACCATTGACATCTTGGGAATCAGTGAACTAAAGTGGACAGGAATGGGTGAATTTAACTCAGAAGACCATTATATCTACTACTGTGACCAAGAATCCCGTAGAAAAAATGGTGTGTCCTGTCTAGTCAACAAGAAAGTGCGAAAGGCAGTAATGGGATACGATCTCAAAAACGATAGAATGATCTCTGTCCACATCCAAGGCAAACCATTCAACATCACAGTAATTCAAGTCTACGCCCCAACCACTGATGCAGAAGAGGCTAAAGTGGACCGGTTTTGTGAAGACCTACAACACCTCCTAGAACTTACACCAAAAGAAGATGTCCTCATCATAGGGGACTGTAATGCTAAAGTAGGAAGTCAAAAGGTAACCGGAATAACAGACAAGTTTGGCCTTGGAGAACAAAATGAAGCAGGGCAAAGGCTAACATAGCTTTGTCAAGAGAACACGCTGGTCATGGCGAACACCCTCTTCCAACATCCTAAGAGGTGACTCTACACCTGGACATCACCAGATGGGCAACACCTAAATCAGATTGATTATATAATTTGCAGTCAAAGATGGAGAAGCTCTATCCAGTCAGTAAAAACAAGACCTGGAGCTGACTGTGGCTCAGATCATGAGCTACTCATTGCAAAATTCAGACTTAAACTGTAGGAAGTTGGGAAAACCACGAGGCCATTCAGATTTGACCTAGATCACATCCCTGATGAATATACAGTGGAGGTGAAGAATAGGTTTAAGGGACTAGATTTGATAGACAGAGAGCCTGAAGCACTATGGACAGAGGTCCGTGACATTCTACAGGTGGCTGCAATCACCACCATCCCAAAGAAATGCAAGAAAGCAAAGTGGCTGTCCGATGAGGCTTTACAAATAGCAGAGGAAAAAAGGAAAGCAAAAGGCAAAGGTGAAAAGGAAAGATTTACCCAACTGAATGCAGATTTCCAGAGAACCAAAAATCAGCAAATACCATGCTTCAGACGATTACAAAGTATCTCAAATCATTTGAATATATTTTTGTTTTTATTATTTTTCTATATTTCTTACAAATTATTCACAATTATATTAATTATCATATACACATTAATACATAGAAATAATCATATATCCAAACATCTAAGTATCGTCTCTTTATATATCACAAAAGATATTGCACAACCCCTTTAAGTCTATTTTGAAATAGTGCTCAGTCTTCCTTCAACAGAGGTCAAGATATCCTCTTGTTTCAGTGTCTTCCTCAGGGAGTTCAACAGATATTTCCAAGCACAAGGTTGCCAAATACCAAAATTCCTCACTTTTCACTTTTGAGGAAGCCTTGAGCTCATTAAGAGAGACTTTTTGCAGCGTTCATTAGTGAAATTGGGATAAATATTTTGGCTTCAGCCTGGTGGAACGTTCTCCCAAGTGAGATCAGGGCCCTGCGGGACTTGCTTCTGTTCTACAGGGCCTGTAAAACAGATGTTCCGCCAGGCGTTGGTTGCCTCATCCTGCCTTATCTTATTCCACCTCGCTCCATCTAATGCCACCTATGTTGGTGTATTGGCAGGACATTGCCCACTCTCTTTGCCTGGTTGCTCAGACACTGCAGGCTGAAATTTGAATTTTCAACTTGGAATGCTTGACTGTTGGTTATCATTGAGGAATTTTATTATTGAATTAAGATTTATAAATTGAACATTTTATCAATGTTGTAACTGCCCTGAGCCCTGTATCCCAGGGGAGGGTGGGATATAAATCAAATCAGTAAATAAATACTAGAGTGGTGCTTCCAGTGGAATGCTGTTGTTTTGTCAGATGTACACTAGGGTTGCCAAGTGGGGCCGGGGGGCCGGGAAACCCCCGCTTTGGAGGCCCGATTTCCGCCGCTGCAGAATCGGGCCCCGGGGGGAACTCCGCCCCCGAAGCGCAGCGTGGCTGCGTCACCAAGAGGTGACGCAGCCACGTCGCTCATGTTGGGGGTGTGGCCCAGATCATCAGAGGGAAAACTCTATGGTTTTCCCTCTGACGATCTGGGCCACGCCCTCAACGTGAGTGACATAGCACATCACTTCTTGTGACATGCTGGCGGCGCACTAAGCATGCACGTGCACCGCCGAGGAGCTCCCGGAGCCCAGCGAGGCTCCCCCGCTGCGAAGGTAAGAAGACTTGGCAACCCTAATGTACACACACAGAGAGACCCTAGAACAAGTAAAGCTAGATTGCATCTAGTCAAGATCAACCAGAATATGACCATTCGCATGGCTATAAAATGACATATACCTGAAATACATTATTTTTAGCTGTTTCAGTCACACATATTATCATGATGGAAGTCTCTGACTGGCCTGTGTCTGTACATTTGTGAAACATTCCCATAGGATTTTACACCTTGGGATCATTTTGTTTTTGAAAGATATAGCAATACTGTGCTAGGTTTACCTTAATCCTGGCCCTGACCTGGATAGCCCAGGCTGTTTTCAAGACTGCTACAATGCCTGTCAAGAAAATGGCCTTGAAAAACTTCCATGTCTCTTGGATATGACTTTCAGTTTTAGATGACAAAATATTGATTGAAAGAAAACTGCCACACAAATTTGTTTTTACAATGTCTGGAACATTTTCCAGCCTGACATAAAATGGGCTCAACTAAGTCACATACTGTGAGAAATAATGTTTACACTGTAGCAGGATCAATAACTATATCATCTTAGCACATTCCAGTTGACTGCAGCTGGAACTACTGATATTATACCACTATTATACTGAAAACAATTCATCAAAATATCATGCCTGTGCTGATGAAATAGCCATAATACACTAACTGGGACAGAGTGAGTTCCTAGGTATAATTCTGGATAGCAAAAAAGTGACAGGAATGTCACTTCACATCTTACTGCACCAAGGGCTGAACAACTGTCTCTCATGAGAAGAGGGTGGGAGGATGTAATAACCAAGCCACAAAAACAATTTCACATATTAAGTGTTGGGTTACTTGCAGTGCCAACAGAAATCTTCCTAAGTCCATTGAAGGTTGTAACTTAAATTTGGATGGTATTGCATTTAGTTGCAGTTCTGCAGAAAAGGTAAAATAACAGCCCTGTTCATGTTACAGTGAACGCATATACAATTTGTGACCATTGTACTGGTGATGGTCATTTGCATACACACTGGGTAATTTTCATGTTATAGTCAATGCATCTACAGCTGAATGTGTGATACAAGCCCCACATTTATCCAGGTAGTAGTCTCTGGTTTCATTCATACAGAGAATGCGTGTGGGATTTTTTAAACAAACAAATATATGCACATACATGAGGCTAATGTGTGAACTCATCGAAGTTTTCAAACACAGAGTATCACCAGACTTTTACTCCCCTGTGGAATTGGGTTGCAATATTCTTCTCAGTAAAATTGGTTTTAACGGCATGCAATCACAGTTTATAGGATATGAAAGCAAACTGATTGTGTACATTCAAATTAAAAAAACTCGCTGAAGACAACCATCTACTCATATTTTTGACCTGA